CAAAAATACGTTGACATGTCTATGACCGGGGGCATAAAGCCAAGCTAATTGGTACAGCCCCAGGTAGACTGTTGCTTTCAGTCAATAGGCATGCTTGCCATCTGGCCAAAACAAAAGACCTTGCCGTGCCCAGCAGAAAGCTAACTGAACTAGCTCCAATCTCTGCTATCAAATTCGAATTGCACTTTGCTTTGTTGTTGCTCGGCTTTGCCATTGCAAATTGCGTCAATTGGTAGCCACCAAATGGCCAACTGCCCGTTTTGGGCTGACTTCACAAATACCAGGCACGTAGGGCATGGCAGGAGGCGAAAGCAAACCAGACTTGCCAGGAGTACCTGAGCTCAGTTTTAATTTTTTTAATGCGAATTGTATTTCGACTAAATTGTTGCAGTTGAGCGAGCACGTTAGAGAACTAATATTAATAACAGTATGTGATACTTCTAATCGTAAAAAGTAAAACTGGGCAAAGCCAATTTTTACAGGAATTTGTAACACAATACGAAATGGCAGAAGTTGTTATGAGAATTGATAAATAATATTTCCTATTTCCAATAAGCTTTGCTATGAAATTATAGCAGCAACAATATATTATATTTTTCATTGAAGCAATCACTGATATGGCAATGATTATCCATATATGTAAATTATTGAACTATAAAGAAACTTCGATGATGATATGAATGTATATTTCTAAACATCATTATCTTTTATATGTAATATGCATATATAATATTACAGTCAACTGTAACTATATTTATTTGAAGAAATGATATTTTATTGATTATAATTGAGAGCAATGCCTTTTATTTTAATAATATTAGGCAAATTATTGTTATAATAATAATGTTTGGGAATGCTGATTTATTCTTCTTATACAGGATATCAAATATAGAGATAGGGAATTATCTCCTCTTACAAATTCAACTGCTCTTGCATCTCTTATTTAAGTTCCGCTCCTTTCACTATTAAATACATCGAACTAAATAACTCTCAAATGATTTGGCACATACTCTGTCTCTTAATATATCATAAATGTGGTGTCCAATGCTTTCTCATAGGCAACCAAATAAAGACAGCTAGAAATTTGATACCCATGAAACAAATTTACACATATTAAGCCCATCTTATACTTAAGTACATTTATTTTAAAGCTGGCCTTTTAAATTTGAACTCAAGCCAAATTCCCATTTGAATGCTCTATCCTTTGGTACGGCAGACGGCGGCGTAGGGCTCAAGAGCTTTGCGCTTGACTCAGCCCATTCTCATTCTGAAACAAAAACAAAAAATATTTTCCATACACACACACACACTTAGACAGACGCACAACAAGGCGTATACTTCACTCTGCTTGCTACTAGTATTTTTCCCCCATCTGGTGTGGTAACAGTTCTCTCAGTTATTAGCATATTCTCGACATGCTCAGCTACTTAATGATGCAGAAATGTAAAAAAAGCTGCAAAATTCACATATGTATATCCCGAGCAGTTTGTAGCCATTGATTATGCGTGTGTGTGTGTGTGTGTTTGTGTCGCAAATGTGGCTCAGCGGGCAGAGCTGATTGCTGGCTTTGCATTTTTGTATCGCCTTGGTTTCATCTGGTTTGCTTGACGAATGGCAACTCTGCATATTGATCCCAGTTTCAGTTTCAGCAATTTATGTTAAATACGTGCGCTGAAATATAAGGCAAAGCCGAATATCGAGCAGCGCTCCCTCCCACTCTCTCGCTCTCTAGATATATCTCCTTGAATACATGTACCTTCAATTTTCCGCCATGCCAAATTACGTGTGTGTCTTTTCCCTGCTCGGCAAAGCCAAAGGATATGCATGTGTGTGACAGATAAAACACGTCGTATCTTTTCCGGCTTGTTTTATGCAATTAGTTGATTTGGATATATTCTTCTTGCAGAAAACAGATTCAATTGATTTCTGTGCTTGTTTTACTACATGTATGTTAAGGAATCCCATTAGACTTGCAACAAATAAAGGTTATAAATTAATGGAAAAAATTGTCTAGACAATTTTACAAATTACTTTTATATTAATTTTATATTTAATCCATGAACCAAACTAAAATAAAAAATAAAAAATATATATATTTTTTTTTATAATATTTATACTTACTTATTTATACTCCAAATAATGCAAGATTTTACTCTGAATACATAAATACCATTAAAAGACTAAAATAATTAATAATAATTAAAGTATCCATACTGGATTTTCTTTTAAATCCCTCTTTGATTCGCCCTGATGGAAGAAATAATGTTTTTGCTTTTCAAAACTGTCATATTCAGGAGGGTAAAACAGTAAACCACTTTAGGGGTCTAATGTCCATCTAGTGAACCCTAATAAAAGAAGCTGACTGTGCCATGCCTAACCAAGCTGAGCCTTTCAGGCAGCTATGTATGGGGAAACAGAAGTGAATAATTTATGAGAAAGGGTATATACAATTTTAATATAATTAATGAGACGCTCTCTGGCAATCTCTCTCTCTCTCTCTCTCTCTCTCTCTCTCCTTTCTCTCTCTCAGCGCTTAGTAACCCGATTTAGTATACTTTGATCTATATTAAATTCTGTCAACTGTCACTGGAGCTAAAATTCTCATTGCATTTATTAACGTTTTGACTTAATATTCGCAGTCATTCGGTCTTTGATAATGTCAGACAGTGCACAACGTACACAGAGTAGCGCAAAAGCTGAAAGGCTCCACTAAAACAAAAGAAGTTTCGAAATATTTATTCCTGTAGCTTAACAGTAGAATATAATTAAGCCTCAGTTGACCCATGTACTTGGCTGTATCGCACACAAACTCACCTGGCCCACTGGCAAGGTTAACAATTGGTTAGCAGCATTGGGTCAACTCTGTGGCCCCTGCGGCGCACACATTCGCTGGGCGGTGAAAGAGTCAAACGTTGCCCGCCGACAGTGGGTCATAAAACGCATGAATGCACAGTGAGTACGTGTTTGAATGAATGCGCCCGAGAACTGGAGCACTAGGCCAAAAGTGAATGCGTGAACAGTTGACTGAGTAAATAGCTACACAAAAGAGTCAACGGGCTTGTTGTGGGTGAAGCGGGCGAAGCGGGCAAAGGGCGCTGCCATTTAAAGAGTGCCTTCACAAAATGTCCTTGGTTTATCAATATTGGGATTAGTGCAATTAAATAGCTGGGCACTCTATTGCCGCTAAACCATTAAAAATGAGGAAGCGTACATAAATTATCTGCTCGGCCTGATGCAGACATTCACAGACAGAGGCCATTTGCAACTAAATGACAATTTGAAGCACTTTCTTCGTCTTGAGCTACCTAAACATTTAATGTAGCTAAGCTGACTGTAAGCAAGCCGCTCAGCCAAAGTCATAAACCGCCAAAAGTTTCACTCGGCATGCTGTCAAGCAAAAACAAAACAAAACAAAAAAAAAGCAGGAGAAAGAAAAACAATAAATAACTCATACGCAGCGTTTGCCACAGACACTTGAGCAAAATACGCAAGGCTAATCAAGCCAAGTGGAGCACATAACGTTTATAAACATAAGCCAAGTTTCAGCAGAAAAGTCATCACATTTTCCACGTCTCAGCTGGCACTGCGCTGACATTTCCATTGGCTGGCTCACTTTGCGTCTCTTTTTTTTTTTTGGCCAAATGTCAAAGGATTCCGATTTTTGCTTTAACTCCGCCAAATGCTGACACAGCAGCAGCACATGCATATTTTCACACATTGTCAGTGTCAGGACTATAAAATGTGATTCTGAAATGGCAGACCGAAGTGCAGTTCTGTGTTGCAGAACAAATGCTTTAAGATTTATATATTGATTCTGAACTAGCTCCTATTTATATGCTGCTGAGTTAAATATTTAAAATTGCTTACATTTGATTACAATTTGTGTAAATTATTTTGTGAGTGTGCTGAATGGTTTAACACATTTTGTTTAACTCAATTTTTCAAATACTTTAATTGATTATTTATTTACAGAAACAGAAATTAATTTCAATTGAAGATACTTCTTTTTTATTTGTTTATTATTCTGCGTAAATTCACTTATGCTCACCAGTTGGCAATTAATTTGTAAAGAATATGTAACGACATAAATGCCACCATAAATTAAGCCCGTCAACAGAGCTCAAATGGCAATCAATAAATTAACAACTTGCAGTGGCAACCATTGATGCACATACAAATTTATTTGTATATGTTAAAGTATTTAAATATATTTGAAATTAAGGTATTTTATTTACTTATTTATTTTTTCTACTTACATACATACATATGTATATATTTAAATAATTAGTTTATTTATTTTGTATAATTTATTTATTTAATTTTTAAATTTACTTTCATTTACTTCATTTATTAATTTAATTATTATTTATTAAATTGTTTCATTTTTTAATTTTTAATAATTTTTTTTATTTAATCATTATTTTATATATTTTATCTTTATTCATTTCTTATTTATTTATTATTTATTTATTTCATTTATTTATATTTTTGTACATATTTTCAAACATGTCTGAAAAAAAAAATAAATAGAAAAAAAAACAAATTTAATTATTTAATAGAATTTTAAAAGGAGTACCGCCAGCCCTTGTCACATTTTGTCGCACTGGAGAAATTACTAAACAAAGGAATAATATAGTACATAAAATGATAGCTAATATTTACTCTGGCGGGTCAGTTCGTGATGTAGGGGGTGATATACACAACTAAACAGAAACTGAGTATGCAAAACTTCAGTCACCCTTTGACCCTCAGCGACATTCATTTAAATGCAAATTTAAAGTAAAGCATGTTCGATGTCATTTTGGTTTGCTTTCGAACAGAAAGTTTGATACCCACATTATGCACAAACAGAAATGGATGAAAATGGAAAAGAATCAACTTTTTGGATGCTTCAACTGCAAAACATATTTGATATTTTATATATATTCTGAATAAAACCCAGTATTTAAAGCTGAAAGTTTAAGCTAAGTAAAATGATTGTAAAATCATTGAACAGAAAATAAATTGAAGTTGAATTTATTATTAGGCATACGCTGCGTTTAGGCAAAGCCGATGATCACGTGGATCACTCCATTCCCCACTTTGTGTGACCTCGATGGGCTGCTTAGTTGCAGCTTTTAGAATTGATCTGGATAGTTTGAGTGTGGTCGGATAAAGCTGGCCAAGTTTACTGGCTGAACTGAACTCCAGATTTGCCTTAAACATGTTCAGATATGAGCTGCATAGAAATGTGCATGTAATAGTTGGGAACACTATCTTATAAAACATGTTCTTTACCTATTTCGAGTGGAATAAACCCGAGATTTCTTGACAGTAAGCACATTAAGACCGCCTTTGATGCATGTTTCGCCTATGTGGTCCAATGATTTGTCCCAATTATAATCGTCGTATGTGCAAAACTCTTGAGCGCAAGTATGGATTTCAGACCAGGTGCTTGCATTGAAGGCGACTGCAACAGCATGCTGTTCACTTGACCAAGCTGCATATTGAACCTAAAGAAAAGACAAATGACAGGTGTGACTATTACAAATTCTCGACTCACCTTGGAATATGCGTTGTCATCTCGTGTCGAATTAGGCTTGAGAGAACCCAGATCGCTACCCAGACTAAAAATATTGCAATGCGAGCATAGCTTCTTGGCAAATTTCTGCATTTTGTAGAGCACAAACAAAAAATCTTCTGCTACTATATCATCTTCCTCCAGGAATAAAACTAAACCTAATTGCATACAAGAAGAATACAATCTTAATTATCACAGACTTTAAGGGAAATAACTAAATCAATTACGAACCAGTAAAATTCTTGGTTACTTCAAGCTTATGGAAAACGTAGTTGGCCTTCCACCACCAATGATGTTTTTTCTCCGTATATCGGGCGTCTCTGTAGTTACCATGCAGATCTGGACTGAGAGCATTGTTACAATTCATGATTAAGGCCCTGGATGAAATAAGGAAATAGAAATTCGACACTTTAAAGAAGGTGGAATCGAACTTACTTTAATTTCGACATTTTGCGAGGACAGTCATTCGGATCGGTACCAGGAAAACTATGTGGATACAGCTGTATGGAATGTGGATAGAAGATTTGCATCACCTTACAAAACTCAATCGCTAGCACTGAATCATAGGTTTGCTCATCAAAAAAATCATATGAGAATATAAGCAATACGTCGGAAATGCCATTGGCATGAGAAAGGCTTTCTATCAAGCGCGGCAGGTAACTAGTTGCCTTGTGCACCTGTTAAGAAAGATAAACGTGTGCTCTCAAGTCGCATTTAGTATATGAGCTGTACCTGTATAACAATAATAGCCGAGCTATTTTCCAGAGGACTAAACTTTCTCTCATTAGATATCATCTGTGCAGTGTTGACATCCATCATGAAAGGATATATAATATCTGAAATATTTGGCCAACAATCAGCGAGATGTTACTCAAAATAGAAAACTCGTTTGCCACTTACTTAAATATTTAGTTATATTCTTATTCACTGAATCGTCTCTCGGCTTCATGTTCGCAATGTCCACTAAACAAATTGAAGTTAATTCATTTATATTCCGTATATAAACTTTGCGGACTTACTAAGATAAAAGCTGCAGCACTGCAGCACTACATAGCCTATGACCAGCAGCAAGATAAGTCGGCAATACAATTGATTCGGCTTTTTAGTCATGATTCAGTTGTTGAGCAATTTACAAATATTTCGAACTCACTTATTATTTAGTTACCATTAAACTGTTTGCAAAGCCAACTAAATATTTATGTATAGCTCATTTCCGGCTACTAGATATTTTCGTAGCAAAACAAATTGTTATCCCAAATATGGCCACTCAAGTAGTCAAGTGAGCTGCCCTTAGGTAAATATTGAGTGCACATCAAAGCAGCAAAGTTAAGTGAAATTACTTTTCTGCCCTGGAGCAGCAGCTGACGATGGCCAGGCCAAGTGAGTATTTAGCCAGGTGAATGCTGCCCTTGCTCATCTATTGACTTAACAAACGAAAACAAATGTGGCCACAACTTGGCATTCAGTTAGAATTCGGATGAAGTACAGATTGGAATGAGATTCCATTCGAATTTTATCCGTTATTCTAATTCAGTTTCATTGTTTACTGCCTGCCAAGACATGCTTGGCATGGTATTGGTTTAAGACTACATTAAATTTAAATGCTTTAAGTTTATGTTGAAGAAGCCTAAGACTTGAGTATGCTCTATCAAGTACTTTTCAATTACGAAAACAAAGGAAATTATTTTTATATATCATAAAATAGTAATGCTAAAAATACCTTAAATTTATATTAATATATACATTTTTTTTTAAATATATTAGTCCCTATATCATATCAAATATCACTCGACTAGTCTGATCTCAGATTTAGATTGAGGACTTCAGAGAGAAAATCAGAATCCCAATAAACAAATACAATTTCCATTTTAACATACTCTATCATATCATCTTATGATAATCTATAAAATCTAAGCCATCAATACTTGGCAGCTGACTTTAACACCATCCTTCCGCTTCAGTGTCAATTTGACATTTTAGCACTTGGTGGATTTTAAGTACAAGATTGATGATGCTGATGATGACGATGTCTGAAACCAAGAGCCAAGCTTCTTGTGATGTAAATTGCCGCATTTTTATGGTTTGGCCAGAACATAATAGAAATTTTATGCTCTGACAATGGTATTAACATTCCAGGTGTTTTTTTTTTTTTTATTTCTGCTCGATTATGCATAAAAGAATATGACCTAATGCAATTTTCAATGAATCTCGATCCTATACACGAAATAAAAAGTAGAATCGTGAATTATTAGAGTTGGTGATTAGTTCGTCGTGATTTCTGAAATAGGTTTAAAGCAAAATTGAGATGTGATGCTGGGTGTTGTCCATTAAAGCAACTATTTCTAATTTCTTAATCATCCAGTCAACTTATACACAAACCATATATGATTGTATTCTATGTATTCAACTATTTGGTAATGCATTTATTGGTAAACCACAAAAAGAAAAAAAAAAAAAACAAATAACAAAATAAATTTAATTCTAGAATACGCATTCGTTGAACCGCCTCAGGCAGAGGAAAGTGCAGCATTCCTCGGCAAAATGACAATTCATTCCAACTCCTTTGCAGCTTTTCTGCGCCTTCCACAGAGAGATCTATATGACAATTAAAATAATAAGTGAATCTGATTGATCAGATCAGAATCATAGTAAGCACGTACCTCTTCTTGGTTCTTAGATGGACTCATTACTAAATCACCGAGCGCTCGTTGTCTGGACGTCACAAGCTGTGGCGTTACCATGGCTTCAACTCTTGCGAAAGTTTTTTCTCTTGCCGTATTTCCGGCCGAGTAGACCCATGGAGCCAGCATGACAAACAATAGACCAATAAACAGTCGCATTTTAATTTGTTGACTGACTACAGTGCATTCAATTTGAGTCTTTTATACCCGACAGCAAGTGAGTTCTATGCTGCTGTATAACATGTGCCAGCACATCTGTTGGAATAATTCAGAAAAATTATTTCATTATGTGCAAAGTTGAAAATGCAGCCACAGTTCTCTGAACATACATCGAACTATTCGCCATAAAATGTAAATTAAGTACGGCAAAACAATAACAAGCATTCATATACAGAATTTTATATTTATATATATATATATATGTGTTCATTTATTTCAATTTAAATATTATTTCTAAAATTGTGCTGCATTATTATTTGGTGTAATTGAATTTAATGCAATGAAATATATTATCTAAATTGGAATAATTAAAGTAAATAAGAAATTTAAAGTGTGCTATGAAAAAAATTAAAATATAAATAATTAAAAATTAAATTCTCTATTCTATTATAAATTCTCTATGGCAATTAATTTGGAAATAATAATTACAATTGGGGCGATTCACATTTTATCAGATTTAAATTTTAAAATCAAATGTTATTAATTATTAAAATCATATGATATCAGTATTTCAATATTTTTTATTAATTTAATGATTATTATTGGCAGACTCCAGCAATACTGCTTCTTCTTCCTCTGTCATCGGAGCCTACCATTCCATATTGTGTGATTGCAATGTCAAAGTGAAAGCGACTCGATATGGGCAGACGTAAATATCGCACACACTCAAAGACAGAAGAGAAAGAAATTGATCTTGGGCACAGCTATGAAACCGAATTGAAGACATAAAAGAAAATGAAGAATGAATGAATGAATAGAAGAATTAAAATTCCATAGAGAGCTTCAAATTTCAGATATTTGTAAGAAAATTCCATTGTATAAACAACTTTACTTCAATGCAACTAATATTTGAAGCATTCTTTTAAATAGCGAAATATATTTATTTAGAATAACAGTAGACACGCAATATTTGTTTCTCACAAAGAGCAACTTAAGCAGCGATACCTAAGTCAACAAACGCAAAATGGAAAGGACGGATGGAAAATATGTTGGTTTAACTGCAATTGATTTTAGATCCCCCCAAACACAAACAACGATGCACAGTTGAAGCAAAGTGAAGGCAAACAAGCTGCAACCTGATAACAGCAAATGGGAAATGTTTTAAAAAAAGCAGAGGAAAACGCAAAGGAGAAATAAAGCAGGAACAATATCAGATTGTAAGGAAATCAAAATATTGAAAGCTTTCCATAAAGCTGAACAAAACACTGCATTTTTTACAAAGGTGATAATAAAATACTCAATCAAAAATCGAAATGCCAAATTGCATCTCTTTGTGCAATCGCATTGGACCACGACAAGCTGTCGACGCTTAGTTTCATTCAAAAGAAAGTATAGAGTGCTAAAATTCTGCAACAAAGCCATCCAGCTTTTGTCAGAATTGATTCGTTTGAAGAGCTTTGATTTGAGACTTGCTTGAAGCATTGATTGCAATATGATCATACTGTGGGATCTCTATGCTAATGCCAAGATTATCCATATGACTCAAAATGGTTGTTTATTGTTTCATCTGACCATATTAACAGTTTCAAGTCATATGGACCATTATGGCACTGGCTTTAAGCTCCCACAGTCCAATCTGTTGACTGTAACAGTACAGTAAGGCAAACTGGTCAAGCGCGGTGGCTGCTCACTTTTGGTTTAAGGGAGAATAAACAAAGATTGTGCTAGAACTCTTGGCATAGTACCTGATCACTTTACAACCAAATTTGGGAGAAATAGGTGAACATATGGGTTTTACTACTGAAAAATGCAGAACAATGACTCAAGGAACACGTCTAATTTGGTCAAAAAGTGGATAATATGGCAAGGATTCAAGTTCCTGAAGTGTCCTGAATACTCTTCAGACATGAATATCATTGAAAATATATGGAGTCATGTGAAATCGCAGCTTGCGAATTATGGGTGGCTAAAAGTGGAATGAAAGAGCCGTGGGAGAGGAACAAGGACATTTGGCTAAAATGGTCCTAAAATGGTGCGAGGGTATACAAAATTGATGGAAAATGGCATTAATGAACTAAAAAAATCAAAAGGGCTATGTATTCATTATTAAAAAATTATTAATAAATATATCTGTTGAAAAATGACCAGGATGCAAGAATGTAACATTTGACTTTCTTTACATTTATATTTCTTATAATTATTCCAGCCAACCGAATGATTTCAAATTTTCAGGCAAGACAGCTAAATATCATACTAACAAAATAAAATTAAGATCTTAAACATCCATAGAGTAGAAGCAAAAATACAGACTCTTGAAATTGCAACATTGAATTCGTGTTACAGTTTTGCTCGTCACTGTATGTTATAATTGTTCTCTAAAGCCGTCCATAAAAAAAAAACTGCATAATAAAAGCTGAAATCCATATAACTAATCACTTTAGAGCTATTATAGCCGATTCCACTCCCCCCCACACACAAGAGGCCAAACAACGCTTTTAGAGCGATCTCCATATGAGACGAATTGAACCTGAATGTGCTGAAGAGGCCGTCAGCCAGTGTTTGGCCATTTGAGCAGCTCGGAGTGGCGAGTGTCATGTGTGGTACTCGAGCGCAAAAACCCATCAAATCATAATTGAGCTGCAAAGTGTCCATCAATGGGGTGGCCAGCGCTAAAATCGAGCTGACAGGAAACATAAATCAAAGAATTTTGCAAATTGCAGCGAAATCGGAATTTTCGACTACAATTTTGGTTCAACACATTTTTATTTATTTAGTACATTGTCAAGAGCAAAGAAAATGCGAAAAAAAACTGTAGACAGTTCTTTAAGCTAATAAATGTTATAGCAGTAAATCCATGTACCAAAAAAACCAAAGAGATAGAAAACCACGGGCCGAGCACGTAAGGACAAATTGCGTACAGCAAAAGGAACTGAGGAACTGATGTAAGTGTGTGCAGTAAGAGATAGAGAACGAGAGCAAGAGAGCGAGCAAAGGAAAAAGAATGGAAAGCAAATTGGTATCCTGTCAGTTAATCTGATTCTTTGTGCAGAGAAGTCACACTGTTGCCATTTGGTGCCCACATCTAAATTGAAATTTAATAAGCACACGTCTCCGGGACATCAGAGGGCTGGTGGCTGGCGGTTAGGGGGTGGAGAGAGAGGAGGCACTTACAATGGCAACGTAATATTGCTACGACAAACCAGTTGGGCAGCGTCAATTCGTAATGAGTTTAATGGCCCCCAGAGAATAATGCAATAAACTACACAAAATTGCATTTTAATGGCTGCAAATGTTTTGTAATTGCAATTATGTCACACGGCTTCCCCTTTATATAAAGTTGCACATTGAAAATTAT